GAGCCCCAGGCCCATCCCCCTGAGCCCCAGGCCCGCCTCCTGAGCCCCAGGCCCGCCTCCTGAGCCCCAGGCCCATCCCCCTGAGCCCCAGGCCCATCCCCCTGACCCCCAGGCCCGCCCTCCTGAGCCCCAGGCCCGTCCCCCTGAGCCCCAGGCCTGCCCTCCTGAGCCCCAGGCCCGCCCTCCTGAGCCCCAGGCCCGCCCTCCTGAGCCCCAGGCCCGCCCTCCTGAGCCCCAGGCCCGCCCTCCTGAGCCCCAGGCCTGCCCTCCTGAGCCCCAGACCCATCCTCCTGAGCCCCAGGCCCGCCTCCTGAGCCCCAGGCCCGCCCTCCTGAGCCCCAGGCCTGCCCTCCTGAGCCCCAGGCCTGCCCTTCTGAGCCCCAGGCCCACCCTCCATCCAGCACAAAGGGGGTTGCTCATCCCTTCCAGGTGCCAGACAGAGCCATGCGTGGGCTGTGCGCAGCGGGGCCTTGAGCATCGCGTGGGGGAGCGCTGGCGTGAGGGCCCGTGCCGCGTGTGCCAGTGCATGCACAATGGCACCACAAGCTGCTCCCCCTACTGCCCCCTAGGCAGCTGCCCTCAGGTGAGGCCCGGGAGTGGGCGTGGCAGAGTGTGGAGGGCGATGTGGACGCCTCAGGCTTGGGAGACACATGGGTGGGTCAGAAGCGACCTGACTACTGTGCCCCACAGGGATGGGGCCTGGTGGAGGGAGCGGGAGAATCATGCTGCTACTGTGCCCCGCCCGGTGAGTGAGGCTGGGGGTGGCAGCAGAGGGGTCCCAAGGGGAGGAGAATCCCGTGGGCCTTGAGAGTGAGCTGGGGTGGTCTGGCTTCCTTGTCCTGAAAGGTGTTCATGGGGTGATGAGGCCAGGACTGAATACAACACCTGTTCACAGCTGTACACACGCACACAGCTATATACACACATGCAGCCGTATACACACCTGCAGCTGTATACATACATGCAGCTGCACATGTGCACGCAGCTGTATTCATGCATGTAGCTGTGTACACATATGCAGCTGTACACATGCACACAGCTGTACACACACAATTGTATATACACATGCAGATGTACACACCCACGCAGCTGGACACATGCACACAGCTATATACATACATGCAACTGTATACATGCAGCTGTGCACGTGCAAGCAGCTGCACACATGTGGCTGTACACACGCATGCAGTTTATACATGCACATAGCTGTGTTCATCCATGTAGCTGTGTACACATATGCAGCTGTACACATGTGGCTGTACACACATGCAGCTTATACATACAAGCAGCTTATGTATACATGCAGCTGAATACATGCGTGCAGCTGTATGCACACATGCAGCTGTGTTCACGCATGCAACTGTATCCATGCATGCAGCTGGACTCCAGCTAACAAGGCTGCTTCCATGTGAATGACAGCAGGCCTGGCTTGAGACCTGCACCTGCTCCATCCAGTTCTGATAGTTGCTTTGGAATGACAGACTATTCCCCTAAATACACAGTGGAAGCAAAACAAACCCAATTCACACAGAGGGAAGGAGGAGTCCTCCCCAATGCCAGGGTTTTCCTGGGAAGTCATGAGAGGCGGGGATCCAAGCAGTGAGCATGGCTGGGAGGACTGGGGTGAGTGACTCTTGGTCGCTTCCTCCTGAGCCTCGGGTCTTCCCCTACAGAAGAGAGCCAGGCTGAGCCCCTGGTGGCCCCTCCTGCGCCTGCTCCAGCCCCCAGCTCGCAGATCGGAGCTCCTCTGGTTACCTATGTCCTGCCTCCACCGGGAGGTAAGGCACATACCGTTGAGGTGGACGCTAAGAAGCGGCTCAGTGTCCCGGGCAGGGCTGCTGGGCTGGTCCTGTGCCCCATGCACTGGAGCTCGTCCATGCCCTGCCCTGACCTTCTGTCTTGCGCTAAGGTCACTCTGGGGGACCCCAGCGCTCCTGTCGTGCCCTGCTCTGTCTCTTCTCTATCCAGATCCCTGCTATTCTCCCCTGGGCCTGGCCCAGCTGCCCAAGGGGAGCCCAGCGCAGGAGCCCCTCACCTCGGCTGCGCCCCCAGGAGCTCCCACTGAGGGGTCTGGCCTTGGAGACCATGCTGAGTGGCACACCCGGCCGCCCTACCTGCAGCTGCACCTTCTGAGGCCCCGGAACCTGACTGGTGAGTGGGGAAGAGGGACCGGCCATGGCAGGAGTGGCTCCCGCGGGGCTGACCCCCTCTTTGTCCCGCACCCCTCCCCCCAGGCATCATCGTGCAGGGGGCTCGTTCCTCCCCCACGAACGCCGCCAGCTTCTCGCTCCAGTTCAGCAGTGATGGTCGACACTGGCACAACTACCATGACATCCTGCCCGGCACCTTGCCCTCACCCCAGGTACCAAATGCCCAAGGCCTCACTGCACCCCTGTGTGGAGCCCACAGGGTTTTTTTTGTTTTTGTTTTGTTTTGTTTTTTTGGTCGTGGGGTTTGAACTCTGGGCTTGAGCACTCAGCTCTTACATCTCAAGGCGAGCGCTCTACCACTTGAGCCACAGCACCATTCCCGGTTTTCTGAGTGGTTTATTGGAGATAAGAGTCTCACAGACTTTCCTGCCCGGGCTGGTTTTGAACCATGATCCTCGGATCTCAGCCTCCTGAGTAGCTAGGATGACAGGCACGAGCCACCAGCACCCAATGAGTCCACACCGTTTTTGTCCCCAAGGGGCTTTGTCTCTCCAAGGGCTAGCCCTGCCTTCGATGCTTATGGAACGCAAGTGGACACTGGAAAACCTCCATCTGGCTCTGGTCTTTGGAGCACTATGGCAACCTGGGAAGGAGAAGGGATGGGAAATCCTAAGTTCATGGAGGGCTTTGGGGAACTAGGCCCCACAGAGGCCTCCCAGGGAGACAGGGCCCAGTCTACACAGGTGTTTGCTCTTAGCTATCTCAGGAACCTCTGCTCTGGGCCAAAGCTAGGATGGTCCTGAGGATCCCGCTGTGGGCACAGCTTCACCCCTGCCCTCAGGCACTGCCAGACCAGGGGGCGGGGCTTAGACCAGAAGCCAGGCCTTTCTCTGGCCTTGAGGATGCCTTGTCTACTGCTGGGTGGGCACGGGCTCCAGCAGGGTACCTGGACAGGCAGAAAAGGGGGAGGGGGGCCCCTGGAAGGACCCACAGAGGCAGCCTGAGCACCAGGCAGGTCCGAGTCAGCAGGCATCCTTTTCTGCAGGCTTTCCCTGAGAACTGGGCCAATGTGGACCTGGAGGCATGGATGTTTGGCCAGGTAGTGCAGGCGAAGTACGTCAGGATGTGGCCACAGGATGCCTGGCAGGGTGCTGTCCAGCCCCGCCCCTTCCTGTGGGCGGAGCTACTGGGCTGTGAGCCAGGTACAGGCTGGTCTGGGAGTGGGCACAACGGGAGTGGGCGGGGCACGGCAGAGGCTCTTAGCAATAGTCTCTCCCCCAGCGCCTCTGTGCCCAGAAGCTGGGCACCTCTGCGCCGGCGGTGAGTGTGTCCTGACGGGCAGCCGGTGTGACGGGGTTGTGGACTGCGAGGACGGCTCTGATGAGCAGGGCTGCGGGCCCTGGCCTGCCCACACTGGCAGGTAGGGCCTGGTCTCAGCCTGGACTGGGAGGGGACAGTGTGGGGAGGAGCGGCGGCAGCGGGAACACACTGGACATGCAGGTTCTCGGGTCTCACCTGGCCCTGCAGCCGGGCCCTCCATGTGTGCCTGCCACCCCTTCCGGGGATGCCATCATGGCGGGCTGAGAACCCCTGTCCAGCCTGAGCAGGCGTTGCTCCGCTTGAATGCCCCACCTCAGTCCGTCACCCCGATCCATCCTGGATAAGGGGCTCCAGGGCTAGGGAAACCCCTAACTCCCCCTTGGGGTTTTTTCTTCCCAGTGTCCCTTCCACAGCCGTGACTCCAGCTCCCCCCTCCTCCCCTCCCGGACAGCTTTCCCCTCAACCCAGGGAGGTGAGTGGGAAGCTCCAAGTCCCCCAGAAGGTGTACAAAGGACAGGGCCCTGGGCCTCACTGTCTCACTGGTGCTGCTCCTGCACCTGCACCTGTGTCTTCCTTCCTCTCACATGTTCATTTCCTCCTCTGTGAAGCCTTCAACCTGGAGCCTTCTGGAGGCCAGCTCGGTGTGAGGGGGAGGGATGGGGGCTGAGGGGATGGACCGAGGTGCAGAAAAGCACAGGGCTGGAGAGTCCTGAGTCCCTGGTGGAGAACTCTCCCCACAGGGGAGGGGCAGCCCATTGGCTGTGGGGGAGGAGACAGCTCCATCCTTGGCCCAAGCTTTGGGAGGCAGAGGAGGTGGGGAGATGGTGATGTATCCGCATCCTGTGTGGGAACAAGAGGCTGGAGGCTGGGGGACCATGTGGAGCCTTCCCCAGGGCCGGGGCTGCACGGGGAGGCTGAGCCCTCTCTCCTTGCAGGGTCTAGCAGAAACGGAGCCCAGTCATTCAAAGTGGGGGTCATCCAGGCCTCCCACAGGTATGTGCACGCCCTGTGCCCCTCCCCTGTGAAAAAAGTCCCGACGGGCCTCTTCTCTCCAATTAACCGCTCAAAAACCAGCAGTGGCGCTGTGGCTCAAAGTGGTAGAGCACTCACCTTGAGCAAAAGAGCTCAGGGACAGGGCCCAGGCTCTGAGTTCAAGCCCCACGACTAACAACAACAACAAAACATTTCTCAGGCTTTTCTGCTGGCGCTGGCCTTGAACCTCAACCCTCAGACCTCAGCCTCCTGAGTAGCTAGGATTACAGGCGTGAGCCAGCAGCTAATTGAGAGTTTCATGAAATGAATCGCTGGTCAGAACTTTTCTTTACTTTCCCTTCACACTGTTCTTGTGCTTCTTCGCCTACCAGTGTCAACTGACTTTTCAACCTGAAGGTCCTCTGGGGTGGGTGGAGTCTATGGCACCATCAAGCCCAAGATTCACTCTCCATCTCACTTGCTCTGGGGGTTAGAGCAGCTGGGCAGTCATCCCCTCCCTTCTCCCTTCCCCCCCAGGGAAGAGTCCAATGAGTCCTGCCTCAGTTTCTCCAGCTCCTCATCCCATGCAGCCAACAGCCGTCACCCCCACCTACCCTCCTGGGACCGAGAACCTGCAACCAGGAGCGGCGGCCTTGCTGTCCCCACACCCCGTAGGAACCACTGCTGGTAAGACTCAGCTCTCTGTCTGGATGCAAAACCTGGCAGGCCAATTCTCTCTGAAGGGCCAGGAGCCAGAGGGGACAGAGATCCCTTTGCTCAAGGTCTCATAGCTCATTTTCTCGTAGAACCAGATCTAAGCCCTGTTTCCTGACCCAGTCCATCCTTTCCCATTCTCCCAAGAGAGGCAGGCAGTCAGGTCCCCCTACTGTGCTATGATAAGGAAGAAAAGTAGGACGACTGGGTTCCTGGTCAGCTGACTGTGGCGGTACCCACAGGTCACAGCATCCCCCCGAGGCCCTTCCCGCCCATGCGTCGCGCCCCGGCCAGACGCCGTGTGAGGTGCTGGGCTGTGTGCGGCAGGGCCGGCTGTGCGATGGGAGGGAGGACTGTCTCGATGGCTCTGATGAGGGGCACTGTGGTGAGCGGGCAGGCCTGCGTCACACACTGCGGATGGCAGGGGGGGGGGCGGGATTCCTTGCTCCCGGTTCTAACCCATATGGAAAAGGCTTGGGAGAGAATGGTGCAGTAAGGAGCATAGAGGAACTGAATGTGCCAAAACAACCAGGAGTGCCTTTCGAGAAGATGAAGAGGGAGAAGGGAGAGGCCTTGGAGAGGCCTGTCAGATGGCCTTTGAGAAGGTCCATCCATCCACCCACCTATCCATCCATCACCTATCCATCAATCCAGGCTCTCATACACTTGTCCCTCATACACTTGTCCATCCATCCATCCACCTATCATCTACTCATCCATCACCCATCTATTCATCCCATCCATCAATCTACCAATCTAGTTATTCATTTACCTATTCTGTCAATCTGTCTGCCTGTCTGCCTGTCTGTCTGTCTATCTATCTATCCATCTATCTAATCTATCTATCTATTATCTAATCTATCCATCCATTTACTCACCACACTCATCTATCCACCCATTCATCCAGCTACTTACCTCATCCAGCTATCCCTCTACCTATCCATCCATCCATCTGTCCACCCATCTGTCCATCCATCCATCCATCCAAAGTTGATCAAAGAGTGAACTTCCAATCCGAAGAGGAATAGTGTTCCCCAGTTGCAAGAAGGGTCACCCCAGGGAGTAGGAGTACCCATTCAGGAAAAAGGTAACCAAAGGGGATTAATTGTTCTTCTAGATGCTTTGGCTTCATGGCACTCCAAGAATCTTTGTTTTTGATGCTAGTACTGGGACTTGAACGCAGGGTCTCAGACTCTCGCTTGGCTGTATCACTCAAGGCTAGCACTCTACCACTTGAGCCACACCTCCACTCCCAGAATCTTTGACAAGCACAGAGATCGTGTGAGATCTGGGTGGCTCAAAGACCCTGGGTGGACCTCATCCACATGTAGAGGAAGCAAGCTTGCTCCGGTCGCAGGCTGTGGGAAGTTTTGGGAGGAAGGCGAGGTCAGGGACTCTAGCTAGCAAGCTGTAGCCCAGATTGAAAGGGTTCCATTGATCATCCAGCCACAGATCACTTCTGTGATTTCTCCTTTCTCCTCTTCCTGCACTGGTGGGCAGCGAGTGCTGTGCCCTTCACCGTGCCTGCCACAGCCGTGCCTGGGCTGCCCTCCTCGAGAAACCTCTGCTCGTCCAGCCAGCTGAGCTGTGCCAGTGGGGAATGCCTGCCCGCCCAGCGGCGCTGCGACCTGCACCGCGACTGCCAGGACGGCTCCGATGAGGAGGGCTGTGGTATGCACTGGTTGGGTGAGGGGCGGCCCTGAGGGACGTGGTCCCGCCCCAGCCGCCTCTGAGCCCCGCCCACCCATCTCGGCAGCCGACTGCGTGCTCACACCCTGGTCTGGCTGGAGCGGCTGCAGCCGCAGCTGTGGCCTGGGACTCACCGTCCGGCGCCGGGAGCTGCTGCGGCCTCCGCTGCCCGGGGGCGGCTGCGCGGCGGAGCAGCTCCACAGCAAGCCCTGCTTCCTGCAGGCCTGCCCAGGTACCCGGGGCCCCAGACGGACGTGGGGTTGATTGCAGGCCCCTTGATGTGGGAGATCTGGGTTGGCTCATATCCAAGACCCTCACTAAGGAGGCGGCCTCTGCACTCCACGGGGAACCCCAATGTCCAGCCTTCTTCTCTGGGACTCTAGGAGGAGGCCGCTCCTCTGATGTCACAGCCTTGTCAGGAAACCTGCTCCCCTGGTCCCGTCCCACCCTAGACGTCCATCCTGGCTCTGGATGTACCCCACCCAGGGCTCTGCTGTCACAGCCCTTCCCAACGTCCCAAGAGACCCCTCGAGGTGTCTTCCCCTTATGGTCCCCCAACCTGTGGATGACAGGTGGAGGAAGCAGCAGAACGCCAGTATTTTCCGGGGCCCTCCCTCATTCTGCCCCTCCCTCTCTAACATTGTCTCTCGGGGATCTTCCTTTGATGCTATTTCTCCCTACAGTGGCTGGGGCCTGGGCAGACTGGGGCCCCTGGGGCCCCTGCAGTGTCTCCTGTGGGGGTGGCCACCAGAGTCGTCAGAGAAGCTGCGTGGACCCCCCTCCCAAGAATGGCGGTGACCCCTGCCCCGGGGCGTCCAGAGAAAGGGCACCCTGTGGGTTACAGCCCTGCCCTGGCGACAGAGGTAAGGGGGTGCTGGTCATAGCACCCCATGAGCAGGTCTCTGGGCCTTCCTCTGCCCAGTGCCCACTCCACCCATGTCTTCCTCCCTCTCCCCCAGACTGTGGGCTGGGCCGTGTGCTTGTGACAGCTGAGCTGTGCCAGAAGGGGCTAGTGCCCCCGTGCCCGCCCTCCTGCCCGGACTCCCAGGCCAACAGAAGCTGTGGTGGACATTGTGTGGAAGGTGGGGTACCCCTTAGCCTCCCCAGGCCCCCGCCCTCAGTTCCTACCCTGCTGTCCTGGGACTGAGTGCTCTCCTCCATCACGCGCAGGATGCCGCTGTCCCCCGGGGCTCCTCCTGCAGGACTCACACTGCCTTCCCCTCTCGGACTGTCCCTGCCTGGTGGGTGAAGAGCTCCGCCCACCAGGACCCGCCTTCCTCCTGGACAACTGCAGCCAGTGGTGAGGCGCTGTGCCGAGGGCGGGCGCTGGGCGGGGCCTCCACGCCCCGCCGGGCTCAGCTTCTCCCTCCTCCCCTGCAGCACTTGTGAGAAGGGTACGCTGCTGTGCCAAGCAGCGGGCTGCCCCCAGGCCTGCGGCTGGTCAGCCTGGTCGCCCTGGACTCCCTGCGACCGCTCCTGCGGCTCCGGAGTGAGGACCAGGTTCAGGTGAGGAGTTAAGTAGGGGAGGAAATGGGGTGGAGGAGAATGGGGCTCAGGAGGGGTCTGCCCTGAATGGGAGGGTAGGAAAGAGGACAGAGCGGCAGGAGGGCTGGGAAGGAGGGAGGGGAACAGGTGCCTAGAGCTATCTCTCTCCCCAGGTCTCCTTCCAACCCTCCCGCAGCTTTTGGGGGTGCCTCATGTGAGGGTGACAGGCAGGAACTACAGGCCTGCCACACAGAGTGTGAGACAGGTACTGTAGTAGGGGTCTGCCCTCTTCCAATTGCGCGTGCCCAGAGCACTTGGGGGTGGGACCCCTGGCACTACGGGTGGGCGGCTGGTGATGCCTTCCCAGCAGAAACCGCACTATTTACCTTGTTTTATTTCAAGTATTTGCTGGTACTGGGGCTTGAACTCAGAGTCTGAGCCCTTAGCTTTTTCCACTTGAGCCACAGCTCCACTTCTGGTCTTTTGGTAGTTAATTGGAGATTAAAAGTCTCATGGACTTTTCTGACCGGGCTGGCTTTGAATTGTGATCTTCAGATCTCAGCCTCCTGAGTAGCTAAGATTACAGGCGTGAGACACTGGTATCCAGAGAGGCAGTCTTTGTTGTTTGTTGGTGGTGGTAGTGGTGGGAATTGAAGTTGGAGCCTGGGCACTTTCCCTAAACTTTTTTGCTCAAGGCTAGTGCTCTCCCACTTTGAGCCACAGCGCCACTTCCAGTTTTCTGGTGGTTAATAGACTTTCCTGCCCAGGCTGGCTTTGAACTGTGATCCGCAGATCTCAGCCTCCTGAGTAGCTAGGATTACAGGCGTGAGCCACCAGTGCTTGGCTGCAAGCTAGTCTTCATTGGCCTGAGTGGGTGGGCTTTGGTGGGGAGGAGGATAAACTCCCCACATGGATGGGCCAGATGCTGACCAGAGACATGTCTGTGCAAGTGTGTACAGAACACGAGCAGATAAGGCCGCCTGGCTGGCTGTGAGTGTCAGACGGGGGTCTCAGACACAAGAGCACTTAGAAACCAGACGAAGTGCCAAAGCGTTTCCGTTCTCGTGGACTGGGAATCTCCCAGGCTGGGCCTGTCCCTGTGGAGTTCACCGAGCAGGCTTTGCCCGATGAGAGTCAAGACAAATAGGACTGAATATAGAGGAGATGGAGCAGGCGGCTGTGGTGTGGGGACCAGAGATGCTGGATCAAGGTCTTGCTACAGAGGGCTGGTGATATACTAGCTGTAGTGCACTGGGACACGGACGTTTCCCACATAGAACATTCTAGAAGAGTTGACCTGGGGGGGGAGAGTGTGAGGGTGTGTCAGGAGCTAGCTGGGTTGTGTGATGTGGTAGGGAGCTGGGCAGGTTCTGTGGGATGCTCTCCTCTTGGTCACCCCTTGGGGAGGGCTGGAGAGTGGGGGACCCCCACAGTTCGAGGGGACGGAGGCTGTGCCTGCAGAGCAGTCAGTGTGCTGTGCTTGTGGCCTTGCCTCTTGGCATCTCAGTCCTGCCCAGGCTCCGCAGCTTTCCCGGGCTCCTGGCGAGGGCCCTGTCTTGTGTCCCCTGCAGAGGTGCTGGGCTGGACACCCTGGATGCCGTGGTCTTCCTGCTCCCAGAGCTGCCTCCTCCCCGGCGGGAGCCCAGGCCGGCGGCAGCGTTTCCGGCTCTGCCCTGGCCCCGCAGACACGGCCTGCCCCGGGGAGGCCGCCCAGGAGGAGCCGTGCAGCCCTGCTCTGTGCCCAGGTGCCACCCCACCATTCCTGGAGTGTCAGGGACCAGGGGAGGATCAGAAGCCCTGGAGCAGCTTCCTGCAGTCCAGGACAGGGAAGGAGGGAGGGGGGAGCAAGGCTGGCTCCTGTCCTTAAGCCGAGATGGCCTCAGCCCTCCCTCCAGGAAGCCAGCCATGATGAACATGTTCAAGGAGTGGATGGGGTGCCCACGGGCCCCACAACGCTGACACCTCTCTCCTCCTGCCTGCCCGTGCCTTTGCCTCTGGTCCCCACAGCGCCCAGCGGCTGGGGCCTGTGGGCTTCCTGGTCCCCCTGCTCAGCTCCCTGTAATGGCGGCATCCAGACGCGAGGGCGGCACTGCTCTGCTTTCGTGCCTGGGAATTCCACCTGTCCAGGACCCCACAGCCAGACACGGGACTGCAATCCACAGCCCTGCGCAGGTACCGCAGTCCTGCTGCACCCTGCTCTGCAGCCGTCCCGCCCAGCCTGGCCCTGGGAGCCACTCCCGACCCTTAGGCTTCTAATCCCAGCTACTCTGCAGGTGGAGGTTGGGAGGATCGGGGTTCAAGGCCAGCCCTAGGCAAAAGAGTTGTAAGACTTCCAACTCAGCAAAGAAAAACTGGTGCTAACCTGCTGTCCCAGCTGTGCCAGAGGCCTAAGCAGGGGGATTGTGGAATGTGAGAGCCAACCTCAAAAACAATTCCAGGTTTAGAAGAAAAAAAAAAAAAGACTAGGGATGTGTCTCAAGAAAGCATGCCTAGAAAGCATGAGATCCTGAATTCAAATCCCAGTCTCTCTCTCTCTCTCTTACACACACACACACACACACACACACACACAGAGTGTATCAAGCCATGCTTCTATCAAAGCTGTGGCCCTTTGCAGGAACATCCCAGGCACTAGAACCAATGGGCAAGGAGAAAGGAGGGAGGGGCTTCCCCAGCTCCGTCCTGCCCACAGGCTGCCACCTGCACTCTGTGCAGATTCCCTTCAGATCTGACTCCTTCCCTTCCCTCCCCTCCCCTTCCCTTTTCTCCCCTCCCCTCTCCTCCCCTCCCTCGGCCCCTGCCAGACCTACTGTGTCTTCCTTTCTAGCCCAGTGCCCAGGGGACATGGTGTTCCGTTCAGCAGAGCAGTGCCACCAGGAGGGGGGTCCGTGTCCTCGGCTGTGCCTGGCCCAGGACCCTGGGGTGGAGTGCACGGGCTCCTGCACCCCCGGCTGCAGCTGCCCTCCGGGCCTCTTCCTGCACAATGCTAGCTGCCTGCCCCGCAGCCAGTGCCCCTGTCAGCTGTATGGGCGTCTCTATGCACCGGGAGCCGTGGCCCACCTGGACTCCTGCAACAACTGGTAGGCCAAGGGCAGGGGGAGCAAGCGGAAGTTGGGGGGTACTGGAGGAAGGGTTCCAGAGGACACACACACACACTCATCCCAGAAGTCCAGCATGCCTCCATTCTGCAAGCATGCCCTGGAAAGACTACAGTGGATGAGAGATGTTCCCTGATCACTCCTGGGTGTCTGCAAGGACTGATCACTCCATTTACTTAATGAGAAAACTGAATGGCAGATGGGTGGAGTGATGTAGGATGGAACTGAAGAACTGCAGAGGAGATTTTACCCTCTCCCCCCTTCCCCTCCCCCACCCCACCCCCCAGCTTCCTGTTTCCTGAATAAATTCCCTACCAGGGACTGTTGAATTTCTGCTCAGACCCTGCCTAGTGCCCAGTACTCAAAGCTGACACCAGGCCATGCCAGCAGAGGGCGCTCTCATCCACGTCACCATCCCTGCCCACCTCCTTTCACCTCCATCTCTGTCTCATTCTTACTTTTACCTTTTAGTTCCCAGTTCCTCCTTTAAATATCTCCTTTATTGTTCTTCCGCCCAACTGTGTTTTCTCTCTTAGATTATTTTGCTGGAACCTCCAATATTTGACAACTAGGCTTTAAAAATATATTGAAGGAAGCCGAGCACCGGTGGCTCACGCCTGTAATCCTAGCTACTCGGGAGGCTGAGATCTGAGGGTCTCAGTTCAAAGCCAGCCTGGGCAGGAAAGTTCATGAGACTCTTATCTCCAATAAACTGCTAGAAAACCGGAAGTGGTGCTGTGGCTCAAGCGGTAGAGCACTGGCCTTGAGCTGAAGAGCACAGGGACAGCACCCAAGCTGAGTTCAAGCCCCAAGACCGACCAAAAAAATATATATATATACATATATAATATTATATGTGTGTGTGTGTGTGTGTGTGTGTGTTGAAGGGAACAAAGGGTGAGGAAAATTACCCAGCTCTTCCTCCTAGGAGAACTTTAGCTCTTTCTGGATTGCTCCCGCCTGCGCCTGTCACTCAGGATATCTCCAAGTGGTGCTTAGTAAAAACAAATGGAATGAAAGTGTAAAAGGTCACGCCTGACATCCTAGCTACTCAGGAGGCTGAGATCTGAGGCTCGGGGTTCAGAGCCAGCCCAAGCAGGAAAGTCCGTGAGACTCATATCTCCAAAGTGTGTCTCAAGTGGTAGAGCACCATGTGAGAATATGAAGGTCTGAGTTCAAGTCCTAGCTCAGGCACACACACACAAAGTGTCTCCTGATTTTTTTTTAACGTGACACGGGCGTCACGATGTCTGGGGTGCTGTGGAACTTACCCAGGGTGGATTTGGGGGGACGCCCTCAGAGGGAGAATTTCATGAATTTGATGGAACAGTGTCCTGGATGCTGCCCGTTGGGACAGTGCTGGAAGGGCGGGAGCTGGCCAGAGCCGCTGGGCTGCACTAGGTGTCCATGGCCCTGGGCCCCTCTCTCTGCAGCACCTGTGTCTCTGGTGAGATGGTGTGCACCTTGGAGCTCTGTCCAGGTACCCCCTGTGCCCCTCGCCCTGCGTCCTGGCCCCATGCCCTTGCCCTGCGCCCTGCGTCCTGGCCCTGCGCTCGCCCTGTGCCCCTCGCCCTGTGCCCCTCGCCCTGTGCCCCGCGCCCTTGCCCTGTGCCCCGCGCCCTCACCCTGCGCCCCGCACCCTCACCCTGC